TCGATTTTATAATTTACATTTTTTACTTTAAAGTGCTATAACTTTTTAAAAAATGTATGGATCAATACAATTTTTTCATGAAAAATAGTATTTATATACATCTTTCATTGAGTATACTTTTTTTTTAAATCAGACTATTTCCCTATATATGGGGAGGCTTCAAATATAAAAAATGCATATAGAAAGTAGAACTTTTTCAACTTAACTTTTATAAATGTTCCGGAATGTCTGACACTTTTATATATATCTTAAATTGAAGCTTATGTAATATACTTTAATTTGAAAAAAAAAAATTTGACCTCTGGACTTGTCTTCATGGTGAAAGTTGACATCAAAGTTAATAAACAATTACGATTTTTGTAAAATGATTTTTTTTTATATTTTTAACTTATTAATGCTTTAACTTTTTCAAAAATGAACATATCAATATAATTTTTTTTTATATAGATGCTTGATGTGTTTACTTATCATTTGGTATATTTTTTTTGTAAATTTGACCTTTTTTTCTGCCCACAGGGGGGGTATTTAAAATGACAACTTTTTCACAAAAAATTCATAAAGCCAAAGTGTTCCGGAAGGTCTGACACTTTTATATATATCTTAAATTGAAGCTTATGTAATATACTTTAATTTGAAAAAAAAAAATTTGACCTCTGGTCTTGTTTTCATAGCAAAAATGACTACCGTAAGCTATTTTCGTGTGAAAATTTTTTTTTTAACATCATTAGCCATCAAATTGATGAGCTCATCCTGAATATCGTGTCCTAAGTATTGAGTATGTGTCTCTTCATTTTTAATGCGTCGTACATGTTCTATTGTAACCGCGTCAAATTTGAAACAATTTCAATCAAACTTAAAAACTTACCATTATTTTTTGTAAATATCATATCTGATTTTCCATGAAACCCATCATTATGCTTAGCCAAGTACTGAATTATGCATACATTTCGCTAAAGCTTAGCTTTCCAATGGCTTTATCTTTTTCTATTTGAGCCAAATGTTGTTGATCTATAGTAGTCAATGACTTCAATCATATTTTTAAGTCAAATCATTGCTTTAAAGATAAATTATGAGCCTTAGAACGTTCATGTTATAAAAGCTTTTGCGACAAATACTTCCAGTCGTTTACACCTTTCTTAATATTGGCTAAATTATTTTCTGATTTTCCTTGACTAAATAGTACGCAACAAAAACAAAATACTCGATCTTTTAATTTTGAGTACACAAGCCACTGGCGGTCTACAACTTCTCCATTAGGCATATTACGAGTATAATATATAGTATATAATATTGTTTTGTAAAGCTTCGTAGATAAAGTTTATCATCATTATACCGAAAGTTGTAATTAATTATTTTAATATTCCCATATTTAACAATATCAGCCTTTAAATCATTACTTATGTGGTCTGGCCAAGTTGCCGGGTCATTGAAGTCAAATTTTGAACCTGTGTCAATATTTTCGGATTCAGAGTTCAATTTATTTTCAGTTGAATTATTTTCTACATTTAAATCATTAACGGTATCATCTAACTGGGAAATCGAAGTATTTTGTTCCTCGTTAAGTTTGTTTGGTCGACATACATATTTATCAAAAGTCCCACGTTCTTTTTTTTGTAACTCTTCTTTCTGCTTTTCCTTCTTTCTTTTTTCAGCTCCACAAATATACTTCCGAAATTTATCACGGTTACGGGCAGACATTTACGTTTTGAAAAGAAAGGTGGGAATTCAAGAAAAATATTTATGTTCACCTAAGTCGTAAAATGAAAAACAAATATCGATGATAACAATTATTTAGAAATAATGTGTCTAGTGACGGTAAAATCAACTACATACAATAGATTGCATGTGGGCACATACAAGATAATAATTTTTGTACTATAAATAAAAAATAATGCAGGCAAACCAAAATTTCTCTATTGATTATTTCTCAGTATGGATATCATATTTTATCACCAAAGTGATAACAATATATTATAATAAGTACCTACTCAAAATAATGTTGAAGTTAAAGATTAACAAAAATACCAAAAAAAAAATTCATAGGACAGACGATATTTGTTACTTAATTTGAAAGCAAGATTTTAGGCATACTCCGCATACAAATCATTAAATCTCATAAAGGGCGCTTCTGCCCTGTCCTTCCGCCAGGGCTGTAAAGGATTATATGTAGAAGTAATTGCTTTAATATTATAGTTTAAAAATCCCAAGTTATTCTTATCTTGACTCATAATGTTTAATTTTACACATAGAAGTCTAAAAATAACTTTAAAAAAAATTAAGAGATATAATAGAAGATGATCAACTTTTGCTTGAATTACAATTTTTTTTAGGAACACTATTTGTCGATATCTAAACCAAATGATTTTTATCTATTTACAAGAATTTATTAAAAATACTCTAACAGTTACATTATATTAATTTTTTTAAGAATAATATAATTGGTGGGACCAGGAAAAGTTTGTGTATGCATTGTCGTATTTAGGTAATGTTAACTAGGTCATAACCTAGAGCAGCATTATTTGAGAGGTGGTTTTATTTGGTATTTTGAGTTCAAAACTATTATTCAATATATTCAAACAAATTTTCTGTACAATGTTTTTCAAATAAATATAATAATTTAAGATAACTCTCCACGTATACATAAGAAATACTATTTGTAAAATTTAAACAAATAAAAATTGTCTTAAAAATATTGGCATCTAATAATATTATTCATTTTAGTGCAATAAATATTAATTAGTAATAATAGTGAACGTATACGATACTAAGCAATGGGGAAGGGGTGGTAAAATAATTTAGCTTGGGAACGTTAAAGAGCTAAATATGCCTCTAGGGCATACAAAGGGCTCACTTTCATTACTAATTAAAAAAAAAAGAAAGTTTATTAATACCAAAACTATGATAGCCTACTAAATTGTTGGAGACTCCTACAATTAAGCACCATAAGATACCCATATTTACAACAAAATAGGGACTCACCAAGAACTTTACCGGGTCCCCTCAGCTAAACCGCGACTGTCTATTAGTAAAAGTAGGTAAAATTTGATAAGGAAAAAACACCTTTAATAGAATAATATGACATTTATTTTGTAAATGTGTAATAGTCAAAGTGTACTTTTTTCCATTATGTATTGTTCAGAATCAATTGAAAGTGGAAAGATATTTTTAGGTACATTATGTACCTAGCATATAGAGATTGTAGAGACTAATGTCTTGCGTAAAGATAGTCATTCTTAATAAAAAAATGTTGAAGTTCATTAAATTATTAACATACTTAAATTTCAAGATAAGAAGTATTTATTAAAATTTAATATGTTTACCAAACAAATAATTTAGGATTATTATTTTTAAGTGTAGTACAGAAAATATTTGGCAGACTTGCAAGGTTCATTTTTTTACGAAAGAGTGTGTGCACATTAATTAAGTTATTGATTACTATACCATCGAACTAAAATCAATTGAGGACTCTACCGTTTTAAACAATCATATTCTATAGTAAAAATCTAAATTTGTCAGGTTACTCGTGGTGAAAATTGGCTCAGTTTCAACATATTTCGATTCGCCCTCGTTCGCTATTAACACCATTCAATCGTCGACCACTGTTCAAAAACGCAATATTTCGCGAACTATAATTGTGTACATTCAAAATTAACTAATTTATTTATTTTAAGTATCAAAATATTATTTGTTTAAATCTAGTTTAAGTTGTTATTTATATGTCAGTGTTTAATTGTAATGTGAAAACTGTATGTCAACGGAAATCATTCGCCCAAACACTGTCCAGGTAAATTTTTACAATAGTAATTTAAAAGAATTCCAATTCTTATTCCATATAAGTTTCTATTGACTAATTTAAGTTATATTAATTATTTAGATGCACAATTACTAAGATACATTTTACAAGCAATTGATAAAATTATATTTAAGAAAATAAAATAATTAAACAGGAATAAAATTAAAACGATTAAATATCTTTTATAGAATTAACTATAATCCCATTAGTTATTTTCTTGGTTTTTTATATTATGGTTTAAATTTTTATTTTCAAATCTAAGTTAAGATAAGATATAAGATATGAGCTAATTTACCATTATTTAGCAAATTACTACTTTATTTTATAATTAATTTAAATAACTAAGGTAATTGCAAAATAATTAAAGCTTTATACGTGGTACTTGCGTTGCAGCTCAAAAATGTGCATCTA